AAGCTTTGTAGCTCGGTAAGTTACAGCATTCCTTAATCCGTGTAGAGATTCATAATAGATTAGCGTTAGCACCTTCTTACACCAAGCTGAGGTCAGATTCTTATTTGCCAGATTCTTGTTGGAATTTTCCTGTTCCACCTTAAATGGTGCAGCTTCAGGCACCAGAAAGTGACTGCTACACCATTTAAGGTGGAACGGGAAACTCAAACAAGAAGCTGGCGAATAGGAAGCCGAGTTCAGCTCCGTCCTTCTCACTGTGTTTTGGGGGTTTATTTTATGTTTATGTGTATTGAGATTAGAAGTGATTCCCTCAGTGATGGATCTGCTGATGTGTGTGAGTTTGTGTTTTTTACTCGCGCTAAACTCGGTTTTTAACGTCAGGTGCAGACTGAATACTTTCCTGCTGGTCCGGACGGCTAATTATCACGATCAGTTATTAAAGTAATAAAAGCTACCGAGAGCAGATCCGTGCAGCCCAGATTAATCTGTGTCTGAGGATTATAACTAAACAGATTTGGTGAAAATCGGTTGAGTAGTAAGGAAGTTGTGGCTGATTTAATCCTGAGACTCATCGTCTCTCAGTACAAGAGAATCTGTTCACAAGCGGATCTTGACCTCTCCAACATGGCGGACGGGCAGACGTATCACCTTAGATAGAGAACAACAGACAACACGGCATCTAAGTATGCATATCTATGTCCATAAGCTTGTTAGCTTAGCTCCTCAAAGCTCCAGTGTAATATTTAGAAGTAAACTTTGGACGTCAAACATTTTAGCTCCTTTTAGGGTGATGAGAAAAACTGTGTACATTCTTTTTTTTGCCAAACCATGTTTTTCACACAGAAAGAACACAACAGAAATTTAAATCCTGGACTGTCATCTGTAAACAGGTGTTTTCAGACTCCCTCTTTGCAGGCAAAACCTCACTACACTGTGAAAAACGAGACACAAAAACATTGCTGCACATACTTTATTTGTGATTCAGTCTGTTCAAGTTCACAATCCTTTTGTTGTCTCCAAGACAAGGCACGGCATTTTGTGCAAAAGATCCACAGTTCCATGCGTTTCACAGCTCCCAGAGAGAGAAATGCGGCACGTTCGACATCCGAAATACTATTTAGGAGACAGCAAGAGAAACTTAGCCGGACATCTGAATGAGAAATACAAGCCTATTACAAGTCTGAAGGTGGAATGTAACCTAACTTACTCTTTCATTCAGAAATATCAATATTAAGGGTTGATAAATTTAGCTTAGCTTGAGATACAATAGAGTTATGTCCGCCGAAGTCTTTGCTTGGGTACTTTAGCTCAGCTTAATGAATGAATACTATGGAGCCCCATACTAAGGGGCCGTGGTTAAAAACAAAAAAAAAAGTTAACGACATTGCGTTTCCTCGCAAAACATATGCTCGTCAGACAGCAAGCAAACGTAGGACAAGAGGTGTCCAACAACATTGCCTGCATTAGAGTTTTGTTTTTAGCATAGCTAACATTAAAAGCTGTTTTCCCAGTTTGGCCAGTCTGTGCTGAGTTTATTCAGCAGTTGTTCTCTGCATCTCTGTAAACGTAGCTTTTACTGTACGAGGAAACTCGACCTCAGTTTCAGTTGCGCTGATTTTGCGAAGCGAAACTGTGTCTTTATATCTCAATCCAAGATCAACGTAAAATTCAATGAGCTGCTCCAAGTCTGAGCTTAAGCAAAGCACAGCTTTTGCAAGCGAATGCAAACCGTTTGCACTGTAATGCAAAACATTTGCGAGGGAACGCAACGTGATTAACTTTTTTTTTATTAACCACGGTCCCTTAGGGGCTCTGTAGAATACAAATAGTTCAATAAGCAGTAAAACGGTAGCAAGCTGTACCTTTGTAGCAGTTAGCGGTTAGCTAGCTGTTGAGCTGGTAAGTGGCTAAAAATTAAAACTGCACACTGCAATGGAGACAAAAAGACCTCTGAAGTCGTGCTGTGATTCTGTAGTCAGTGTCTGTAGTCAGTGTCATGCCCATAGCAGGAACTCTAGGCCTAAGCAGGTTTTCCTTTATGAGAAAAATGTATGGCGTTTTTGAAAATCACGGTTGAACCCGATAAACGAAAAGGATCCAAACCTGATACATTTTGTCTTACATTACAATTACAAAATGGTTTAGAGGTTGAAAAATAAATAATGCTACATTCCTGTGAGAGTAAAGCTGGGCAGTATGACAATATCTATCATTATCGTGATTACATCGTAAAATGCCACAATAAGCTTTTCTGAGCATGTCATGGACATATCAGTACCTAAAACAGCAGGTTTGATTAAAAAGAGAGCATAATTAGTCTTGTTTTATTGGATTTAATTTTACTTTCCACTAGTAAAAATTTCATTCTTACTAGTCAACCGTTTATCATTTTAATTGGGGAAACATTTGTACTAGTGTGAATTAAATTTTCACTAGTGAAAACGTAATTTTCACACGTAGAAATGTAATTCTTGATATGAATTTATTTGTGAAAATTTGACTTTTACTAGTAATAACTTTTCACGTGTAAAAATGTAATAAAAATTTTACTAGTTCTAATATAATAAACATTTTCTAGTAAAAATTAAATTCTTAAACTAGTGAAAAATTAATTTTGATATCAAGAATTTAATTCTTACTAGTAAAAATTTGATTCTTGTAATCAAGAGTTACATTTTTACTAGCAAAGATTTAATTCTTAATATCAAAAATTGAATTTATACATGTGAAAATTTTAATTTTACTAGTAAAAATGTTATTTTCATTAGTAACAATGTTTCCCCCATTAAAATGAATGGGGAAACTCATGAATTATCACTAGTAAAAATCCAATTTTGACTAGTAAATCACAATATTACATTTTGCCATATTGCCCACCTATAAGCAAGCTAACATTACTGCACAAGGACAGTAAGTCTACTACTAGACTTTAACACTATTATATACCAGCAAGCACCAGCAAGTTAAACGGAAACTTATCTACCACAATTTACAAACCTGCGTGGGTGATTTTGGCGAGTTTCCCAGTCGTATGATACCAATTCAACGTGCAGCTGTGTTAGTTTGCATGTAGCACTGCTTATTTTTCAAGTAATGACCTCCTAATTCAGAGTATCCGGTTAACTTTTTGAGAAAATGGCCGTACAGCAAAACATACGAAGTTTGGAATATCTTTGTTTAAAATAAAGCGCAATATTGGCAATTTTCAAAAATGCATTTTCTCCAATTGATGAAAACTACTACATTCTAACATGGGCATAACAGTAACTACAGAAGGATGTTATCATGTTATCAGTGAATCTGATCAGGTGGGACAAATGTAGAATTATGAAGCTGGTAAAAATAAATAAACATTTACAGATACAAACAAAGCTCTTACATTTAGTTTGTGCAAACACATTCGAGAAATTAGTGTGAAGAAATTATTTTGCACACAAGAGGAGTAAGTTTGGTTGCATTCACTCTTCTCTGTGGAAAAAAAAAACCCTGTAAACATTCAACATCATCGGTTCAACTGTGTGCAATTTTCATATTATTGATGGAACAATGGGCTTTCACAGATTTCAACCAGTGCCAAAAAAAACCCGGCTTTTTCCCCTTAAATTGTTCTACGGCCTAAAAAAAGTCTGTTTACGTTACAACTCACAGCTGTTCACGGCTCTGGAAGATTGTACGATTGACTATTTATTTATTTTTTTACCTGAAGCCCAAAAATGACATTCATTCTTTATGCTTTAGTTTTGTTTCCCCCTAATGTGGAACATGTGCAGTTTTCTGAAATCAATCGCTTCCTTTGACTTATTCCTTTTCCGTTGCGCATCATATGATCATACGATGGCAGGATGGCTTTAGAACCTGCGGTGCTCTGCCTACACATTCTTCCAGCTTCTTCACAGAGGCTCAGCTTAGCGCTCCAATTACACACCGCAGATAAGATTACAATCTTCCAGATACAGCAAGAAATAATATTCTCTAATTCAGCATAGCAACCAACATGTCGCAGCTGGAATACGAAGCGACTGCTGAAAGTGTTTCATCCTTTGAGATTCAGAAATTTAAAAAACAGCTCAAAATAAAAGTACTAATGCTAGAACAGAAGCTCAGCTGTTTAAAGGAAAACTCCAGCACTGTTCCACCCAATCTCTAAAAGCTGCGTCTGCACTGTACTGTCGATTACCACAGACAATTTCACGGACAGGTTTGGCTGTACTTGGAAAACAACCGAAATCCTGCAGATGCGAAACCTCACTCATAGTAGAAGCTACTGGGCAGCTGCTCGATGACACGAATACGTGTTTGAAATGTAGGACTATATAACGTGGATTTGAAATGAACAAACTTACACTGTTAGAAATAAAGGTTCTGTGCAGGTACATTTTTCGATCATCAAGGTACAAACAATGTAAATGTTCCCTCAAAGCTCCAACAGTGGTTTTAAGGTTTTAGAGCTTTTCCAGGTGAAAAGTTCGTATTTGTACCTTTTCATTACAGAGCAGTAAAATAAAAAGCCTGACTCAGCGTGTTTTGCTGTTTACACTGACACACATCTGTGTCACATATAAGGAAAAAGATCGGATTTGGCTGCTCGGACTGAGTCGCATTGCTGCAGATCGGATACGTGTCGGATTTTAGTACCATATATGAAAGCGTCTCAAATCAGAATCGAAAATGTCAGACTTGATATGTTTATCTGTTCACACTGACTCACATCTGTGTCACATATGAGGAAAATGATCAGATTTGGGCCACTTTTACCTGCTGTGTGAACAAAAGCCTTAGAGAAGCAACAAAAACATGGTGCCCAGACTTTTGCATGCGACTGCACCTTCCGGTGGGGTTTGGTTCCAACCTGATGGAGCTAATTTACTTCGTCAGGCGTCCTTGATTGGCTGGATCAGATGCATTAAAGTTGGGTAAACGGAGCATGTTGGATGCAGACAGGTCTCCAAGACAAGGGTTGGTAACACCGATCTGTGGTAATCAACCGCACACTACAGAAACAAGAGATTAGGTTGAATAATGCTAAGATATTCCTTTAACTTAAACAGTGGTGACATAGTAGAACACTCTCAAGACCGAAACACACACACACAATCCCTTGATAAAAACCATGACCCTCGCAGAACCTCCTTTAACTGAATCTATACTGTCTTGGAACTGAAAACAAGAGTGTAGACCAGAGCTACAGCTCAGCTGAGGCTCAGCCTGCCAGTCTCTGCGTCACCACCTCCCTGTACATGATGGAGATGTAGATGAAGAGGAGGAGGATGACGAAGAAGTCGTCCATGAAGCCCAGCAGTCCGAAGAGAGCCTCGGGGATGAAGTCTAGTGGAGAGGCCAGGTAGGTGAGCGCCCCCACCAGGCACAGCAGGATACGGATGCGGAACATCCAGAACAAACCCCCGACTGAAAACATCTCCCTGAAGGCGTGACGCAGGAGAGTGGGGACGTCCCGCAAGCGGTCCAGGAGCTGCAGAACAGATACGTGTTAATACAAATCATGCTACTACAGTATGACAGGCCCCGAGTGAACTCCTGCCAATACCTCAGCATACATTTAGGCGGCTGTTTCATTTCATTCATTCAGTGATCCGATCCAAAATTACATGCATGTGTAGAGAACCACTTGGTGTGGACGTTACCGTGACAACCTGCATCACGTGAGTCCAGTCAGAGTGAGATGAGCAGCAGTGAGCAGCGCTTGTGTTTTTAATTACTTTAAAATGATGTCAGACTCAGGAAAACGTCCTTCACACCTCCTTATTAAAGAAGGCCGAGAGGAAGACGTCGTGTTCTGAGACACGTTAAGCTGGACGTCCGTCCCACCGCCGTCTTTTAAAGACCAGAGCAGAAACTTCGTCTCCTCTGCAGACCAGTTTCTGCTCCGCCATGTTGAACGGTATAAACTTTCACTATGATGTGACGAACATGATCAGAACAGACTTAAACTTTCCGATAGGGAATGTATTTTGGTCCTTTTCTTCAAAAAAAGCATTAAAATTGCTAGCATTATGCTGATGTCTTGGTAGCTAGCTAGCTAAATTTCCCGTTCCACCTTAAATAGTGCAGCAGTTACATTCTGGTGCCTCAGGCTTCACAACTGCTGCACCATTTAAGGCGGTGAATATCTGACTTCAGCTTCATATCACTGAAGAATTAGGGGTGGACGATAATAAATAATTGCCCCCCTCTTGGAAAGCATATGATGCTCTTAATGTAACTAAAGCCCAGCAGTGAGGAGCTGAACTTTACCCTCCTCTGCTGTCACTGCAGACTGGCAGGGTCGCCTACAGAGCAGCGCTGGTAGCTGTTAATGAAGTGATGCTCTTTTTATCTGAGGGTCCCATTTCAGAGGGAAGATTTCAACCACTACCCCTTGTAATTCAGTTCCAAGGAGCAAAGAGACCCTCAAGAACAAGGGGTAGGGGTAAAAATAAGAAATGTGATTGGGCCTTAATGCCTTTGACCCATTTGAAAATCTCTGGTGTAGACTAAAGCTGACTCACAGATCTGGGCTGTCCCGAAAACCTGCGGTTGTAGTCGTTAATGTCGGTGAGAATGAGCCCCGGGTCCAGCTGCCCGTCCTGCGTCTGAGCGCTCTGTCCTGTATCTTGGAAAAGCGGGAACAGCAGGGTCACCTGACAGGAGCACAAAAAGACCGGTTAAACCAGGACACTGAGAACAATGTTTGGCCTGTTTTAGGTTATCTAACGTCTTATCTGAGATTAGCCACAACGTTAAGTCTTTTTAGTGAGTATTTCGTAAGCACTGGGCATTTGTGAGTGTACTTTAATAGTGAAATTATTCTTCTTACCATTTGTCTACAGATGGGACAGTTTATGGCCCCTAGCCAAGTGCCGTAGCGCCAGTATGCAATAATACAAGAACCTGTGGAACACAGATGGCTAGATTGAGACCAGGGTGAGAATGCTAACAATTATCAACAACTAACCAGTGAATTTAAAGGGGAATTCCATCCTTTTTTTCAAAATTTCTGCTCTGTCATCATGTAAACATCATGTAAAAAAGTCATTCAGAGCGGTTTGATGTGAGATTCTCTGCTCTAGACAAACTTACTGAGCCAGAATGGTCCTCAGTGTTGGTGACAGGAACAGCATGTCAGAAACGTTAATGCCTCTAAAAGCTACATAACAAAAAGCTAGAACATGACGTGGTTATGAATCGTCTGTATGATGTGTGAGATATTGTTTATGATAGTTTTGAGACAGAACTTTGAAGATTTTAGCCTAAACCATTTACTTGTTTAATCGGTTCAAGATGGAGAAGTATATGCAGGGAAAATAAAACAGCCCAAAGAAACTGTCTTTTTTCCAATATGTCACTATTTTACCATCATCAACATCACACACATAAAATCAGAAGACACCTGCAGGTTTACTGGTCAGTTCAGATAGTAAATAAAATGGCTGTATTTGTGTTGTAGACACTGCAAACCCTGGTTCCTATCACCACCACTGTTAGGAAATTTAAACCTGTATATTTCTCTATAAAGATTTCACATCAGCCCACTCTCAGTCACTGAATTATGCATGAAATTTGAAGAAATTGGTGGAATTCCCTGTTAAAGTAGAGGGTGTCACACTGCAAAGTCCATTTTTATCATTTTTTGTGCATAATTTGAGAAGGTCAGTCCTTTTGCATCATGTTAAATATCAGAATGAACGGACCAACAGAAATAGTCAAAAATTACTTGGAAAAAAATGTTACATTAAACCTTTTTTACCTCCTTTTGTTCCGACAGCCACAAAAACTGGCATCGTATTTTCAGTTTTGTTTTTTTACCATTGTCCCCAATTTGAAAACGCCAGCTGCCCTTTATACTGTCTTAACATTTAGTGATGAAAAATAAATCGTTTTTATATCAAAATTGCAATTTAAGAGAGTGCAATTTTCTAATCGCAAGAGCTGAAATTAAAAAAAAAAAGTTTATTAAAAATGTTGTCTGAAGGTTAAAGAGAGGAAATTCAACCTAATAAAACTATATTCAGGGGTCAAACCTTAAGCCAGAAAGAGAGGACATTCTGGTCTTCTTGGCAAAGAAAAAAAGCCTGAACCTTAATTTACAGAAAATAATCACAATTTAAATTGCAGTCGCAATATTAGTCCGAAAAATCACAATTAGATAGATATTTTCCCCAAACCGTTCAGCCCTATTAGCCCTTTTCATAACAAATGAACCAGTGAAAATTTTGAAAAGCAAACTTTAAGAACTTTCTTGTGTTTCTTACAATATGACAGCAAATGAAAAGCCTCCAAATAACGACAGATTTACCGCAGAAGAGATGGCCGCAGTTAGTCTCCACTGGCAGGACGGCCTGCTGCAGACACACTGGACAGGACATGTCTGAGTAGTACTGATGCCTCGGCTCGGATGATGCCTCCTGAGAGAGGGACAATACGCTATTATTGAACAGGAATTAGAGCAATTCACAGGGCAGGTTAGTGACATAGACAGAGTTGCCAGATAATTCATTACACTGCACCACACTGCACCTACACTCGTTGGCTATTTTATCAGAAACACCTACCATTCAGGTGAACTTTGGAGGTTAACAATTACTGAGTGTAGCCTACTTGTTGCTGCAGAGATATTGCTGTGCTGAGAATGGTCAACCCAAATAATATCTGCTCAACAGTGGTACTGTGGTGGTCCCTTGCCATTCAAGGGACACTCTGGTGAAAATGAAACCAATGCTGCGTCTGCTCCAAAACATGCCTACTGAACTCCTACAGCAGTCCCAGAGCATCCAGAAGGAAGTGTCGGATTGCAATGCTATTCCGAAGGACGATAAAGGTTACAAAGAACAATAAATGATTGAAAATTTAGGCTGATATGGGTGATATTTATTGAGCTACACAGACAGTAGTAGTGTCTCTCAGTGCAGCGTCGGGCCGCCATGTTTACTAACGCAACATGCCAGACGTCTCGGCACAGAGTTCCTAATGGTGTCCTGCAATAATCCATCCCAGGCAGTTTGAATATTCTCACGCAGCTCCTGCAGAGTTTGTGGTAGGGGTGGAGTGTTGATAGCACATCCCACACATTTCCAATCGGGGACAGGTCTGGTGATGCGGTTGGCCATGTATCACACAGTATCTGTGTCTTCAAGTCAAGCTCTTGAGACGGCAGCAGTCTGCGGACGAGCGCTGTCCTGTTGGAATAGCGCACCGGAGTGTGTGTTCAGAAAAGGTCGGGCCGCTGATTACAGGACCTCATTAACGTAACGTTGGGCTGTCAAAGTGCCTCTAAGACCAAAGGCGATCTGACATCAAACGAAACTGCACCCCACACCAGGCCTTCTGGACGTGTGATGTGTGACAACAAACCGTTCATCTTGGCGCTGACCAAAAGCAGGACTCGTCACTGAAGATGACCCGCCGCCATTTGGAGTCACTCCGTGAGTCTGGCACGACACCACTGCAGTCTTTGGAGACGTTGGCGCGGTGTTAAGGGCAGCTGTCGTAACCGTCTGTGTGAAACATGAATCATTCGCATGTCTCACGATGTCAAACCTACCTACCAAGTTTATTTCTGTCGGTTGATTCCTTCTGGGTGCAACTGGTTTTTGGTGACGAGTGTGTATATATATTTTACACGTGCGTATGTGTATATATATATATATATATAAATATATATACACACACACACACACACACACACACACACACACAGGACTGATGTCAAGATTCAACTAAAAAAAAGTACAAAAAAAGTCTTGATTCATAAATAATTGAATCAATAATTGAATCATTGATAGCCCTCTAACTATGGTCAATGAAACATACCAAAACAATAAATAAATAAATATAAATAAATATAAACAGAAATGTACATAAGTATGCATGATATAAATCACTTATAACTAGGCCTGCAATTATTGTCCAAAGTCAGTTTTTTTTGCTTATATTTTTACTCTCAAGAACAAACGCAGCTTTGCTTTATTCTACACGATTATATTTAACTGCACAACCAGCATTAGCTACTACTTAAACACTGCTAGCAAGTAAGGTGGCTAAATTTAGGCTTGTGCATACAACTAATACAAATAGTTCAACAAGAGAAGACAATAACATCATTAATCGCAATTGTTTATGTGACAACTGACTGGCAGCTAAAATGTCCTGAACGTGACAGTAATTATTTATTTATGACCCAATTTTCTCCCCAATTTAGTCGTCTCCAATTCCACCCGCTAGTTAGGACTCCCCCAATCACACGATGCTATCAACGCTAGGAGGGTGAAGGCTAACGCAGGCTTCCTCCGAGACCTGTGAAACCAGCCACCGCCTCTTTTCGAACTGCCGCTCACGCAACGTCACTGGACAGCCGAACGCGCTCGGAGGAAAGCGCCAACCGCCAGATCTGCTACGTCAGCTAACAGACACCTGCGCTGACTAGCATCGCGCTGAGTGATGGGGGGAGAAGGAGGGGCCATCCTACCCACCCAGAGAGAGCGAGGCCAATTGTGCTCTCTCGGACTCCCGGCTACGGACGGCTGTAGCATCACCAGGGATCGAACTCGCGATCTCCTGATGAGAGGGCCAACGCTTAGACGGTTGCCCAACTGCTTTATGTTTGTAATATCTATATAGTAAATGTCCTTCACATGATTGATGGCACAAACGTCATGAAGGAAAAAATGTAACCAGAGGGGTCCATCTCCATCAGTCCAAGCGCTGTTTATGATCCTGCACCCTGAACTTCACCTGCGTCACCTGGTCAGGCGTGCACTATAAGTTGCCATGGCAACGTTTTCCAATAAAAAGTGATCCACTGTCATGAGGCAGACTGAACTAAGCTTAAAGTTAGTTGGCTGAGCCGTTAACCTGCTCCGTGAGGCAGGCTCCTGGAAAATAACACTGGAAACATCCTGAATCCTGATAGTTTCAGGCAAATCTTGATCAGAAAAGAAGGAAGGTTGGTCTGTGAGGAGTCTATGCAGTAGATATTCCACATGAGGAAAAGCAGATTGTTTGTCACTGACCTGTTCTGTCTGAAGTTGCTGTCGAACAGCTCGAACGTGTTCCTGATTCTCCGGGTGGATTCGCTGCTGCTCATTTCTGACAGAGAGACAAAGGTTTTCTTGTGAACTAATGCAGGCAGTGGACATTTTAAAACCTAGGCTTGTAACAATACACACACTTTTACATTGGATTTTTTGATATTTTATGATAAAAATTTCTTGATTCATCCAAGCTCTAATTATATATACTATTAAAATAAATAAAGCTTCTCTGCTAGAAAGTTTAAATGGCTGCAGTGCAGCCCTCTAACTGTAGTGGACGAAACGTGCCAAAATAATACAGAAATAAGTAAATGAATAAAAATGGAAATACGTAAATAGATGACTAGCAGAAAGGTAAAATAAATAAATAAATAAATAAATAACACATTTTAAAAACTGTAAAAAATAAGAAATAAAAAAAAAAATTAAGCAAACGATTGACACAAAATCAAAAATGAATAAATGTGAGATATGAAACCATAACTAAATTAATTAATAAATAACAGAGGGTTAGAAATGTTTCAAAAGTTTCAGGACCAATCGCTCCCCAGTCCATACAGTCTGCATATCGAATTATGACCGTTTCTGGTATGTAAATCCACACAAAAGTTATAAACCAACCTCAAAGAGATAAACATAAAATCAGAATTGGGCCAATTAAATCAAAATATAGTGTTCCCACCCAAGATGTGTTCCTACCAAGTGAGGTTTAGGTTCATTAATTTCCAAGAAACTGCTGTCCGTCACATTTATTATACTGGACAAACTGTTAACTAGTTGATCATCACTTTTTTCATCAAGTTCCACAGAGATGTAAAGCTGTGTGCCGTCTGCATAGCGGTGGAAGTTGTTAACTGATGATATAGCCAAGGGGCTGGATATATAATGGAAGTGGCCCAAGGATAGACCCCTGTGGTATACCACAGCAAATGTCATGCTTTCCAGAAACAAATGTACCAAAGATAATAAAATACTGCCTATCAGAAAAACCACTTAAGCCGGGTTACAGTACACAACTTTTACCCCAATTTTAGCCCCGATTCTCAGTCTGGCTGAGTCTGTGCTGGTCGACTCTAGTTTGCAGATTTTTGGGTCAGTTGGAGTCGACAGTTGGAGAGAGAGTCGAGTCGTGTGTGAGGAGCGCAGACTCAGAGTTTTGGCCTCCCGATCGTGTTCAGATCAGTCGGAGTTTATGACACGTTTGATTTCGAGTGTAATCAAGTGTAAACTGGTCCACGACTCAATCTGAACAAATTCCTGCAACAGCCAATGAAAAGTGAGAGAACAAAGAAAAACGGTGAAAAGTCTCTCATGTTTGGAGTGAAGCTTTTTAATGAGCTGAGTTTAAGGCAGAATCGAGTTTAAGTACGTTTAAAACTCTAAAAAATACCAACTGATCACATTTTTAAACCTATGATTCTCACTTAAACTTGTTTACTCGCTTCTTTACTGCGTCAGTGCAAACGGCAGAGAAAACAGCAGCTGCACGTTTGTTTATCTGGGTTTGTGAAAGTTCCCTGTTCTCTCTGAGCTCCGTTCAGTTCAGCAGCAGCTGAAAAGTTCAGTAGTGTGATCCCTAATGGTTTAGTGTGTGATCGCCAATATTTCAGTCGCCCAAAAAATCTGCATAAATCAGTCGTATAGTTTGAGATGCCCAGTCTGTTATTATCTGTTAAGACTTCAAAAGTCGTGTAGTGAACCCAAGGATTTAACTACATTTCCAGAAAGTCCAGTCCAATTTGCAAGTCTGTCTAAGGCTGCGTTCACACAGCAGGTAAAAGTGGCCCAAATCTGATTTTCTCACCAAATCTGATTTTATTGTTTGGCTGTTCACATTATCTTTTAAATGTGATCTGTATGTGACACTCTGAACAGATCAGCTCCGAAACTGACCCACATGCGCAAAAGAGCTGCTTCACGTGGCTCATTCAGAGGTAAACAATCATGACTAACTAACTCCAGTCACTCCCGGAGGTTCAGTTTCATCTTCGCCAGCATCACAGGAGCCATCATGAAGCTTCACTGACTCACACCTGGGCTCTTCCCCCAGAATGTGTTCGAGCCGTAAAAAGGGCGCGGTCACTTCTTTGGTTTGTGTCCTCGGATTCTTTAAACTTTGCTTTCAGACTTTAAACTGTTCCTTGAGGCTGCAGCCTCATCGAAATCTCTTCAAACATGGAAGGTTTTAGATGAGTCTCTTCTAATTTTTGAACAGAAATATCAGCCTAAATGTTTATGAGGTCTGAACAGCACGAAATTATGACGAATGTCGAGTTGGATTGACATAAAAGCTGCACGAACTTGAAGTCCTATTGATGCAGATCGGATACGTTTTGGATTTCAGTACCACATATAAAAGCGTCTCAAACAGAAAATGTCAGATTCAGTGTGTTTATCTGTTCACACTCACACACAGACACACATCGGTGTCACATATGAAGAAAAAAAAAACAGACTTGGGCACTTTTACCTGCTGTGTAAACGTAGTCTAAAAGTATACAGTAAATCAGCAGCAGATCCAAAAGGAAAAGAATTGATTTTCTCTTCACTATATATGAAAGTTAGTCATGCTCAGGGAACAACACTGGCGTGGCAACAGGCTTCTCTCAACAGCAGTGAATAAAATGTAAGCTACGATGGCCGATGCAGGAATAAGTCAGGCCTATTTATATTTATATTTTAACTGCATTATTAAAAAATGCAATTTTAAAATCTGCCCAAATGTTGTCCACTTACCAAGCACTCCCCTTTCCCCAGCCAATCCACCAAAAATCTACCAAATTTGGTGGGAAACTGCCTAACTAGACAGTGACTAGTGTTGCAGCCACCTTGGTCACCACAACCACTGCTTGTCACTTGCCATCAGAAAAGCCTTTTACTCTGCCAGGATGCACCCAGATGCCTTGTTACGATCACTGGCAGCAGTTTCTACAAAAGACTAAGGTGAGATGTTTGGAAGAGACCGAGAGCTAGATCAGTCCAACGTTTATTTTCTGATTTTTTGGTACTGTCCTGAAATCATTTGGCCCTTTTTGAAAACACATTTTTCCCCACTGCCCATACTGTACCCAAAATAGGACAAGCAGACAGATGAGTTAAAATAGGACAACATGCAGTTCACCTGCAGAGCAGCGTGGCCAGTCCACCCAGAAACGTCACACTGAGGATGACCACAACTAGGACTTGGTTGCTGACGCCTTCGATAAGAGAGTCCTCATCTTGAATCAAGTGACTTGGATCCAAACATTCGTTGTTTTCCATTCCACCTTTTCATAGCCTGCACTTCTCAATATCACGGAGAGATACATTAAGAAATATTACATGATTACAATGCAGATATTAATGCAGACACAAGTTAACAGCTCACTTAAAAGAATACCTCATATTTAAAGGGGAACGACACAGATTTTTCTACATTTTTGCATAATACAGTAACTTACCGACTCAATTTCTTTACAGTGGTGGTGAAAGGAAGCAGGAGTTCCCAGTAAGTTGCGTTAAGCCAAAAGTTGAGGATTGTGTGTTGTAGTGTTCCTTAGCTATTCTCCTATTGGATAGGCTTTTTTGGCTAACAAAGTAATCTTGCTTTGATTAATCCACCTCAAGGCCCAATCCCATTTCTTATTTTTACCCCTACCCCTTATTTTCGAGTGTCTCCTTGCCCCTAGTGGTTGAAATCTTCCCTCTGAAATGGGACCCTCAAATAAAAAGAGCATCACTTCATTAACAGCTACTAGCGCTGCTCTGTAGGCGACCCTGCCAGTCTGCAGTGACAGCAGAGGAGGGTAAAGTTCAGCTCCTCACTGCTGGGCTTTAGTTACATTTAGGGCATCATATGCCTTCAAAGAGGGGGGCAATTATTTATTATCGCCCACCACTAATTCTTCAGTGATGTGAAGCTGAAGTCAGATATTCACCAGCTTCTTGTTCGAATTTTCCCGTTCCACCTTAAATGGAGCAGCAGTTACATTCTGGAGCTTCAGGCATCAGAACTGCTGGACTATTTAAGGTGGAATGGGAAAGTTAGCTAGCTAGCTATCGAGATGTTAGCAGGCCAATAGTGATTTTTTATGCTTGTTATGAAGAAAAGGACCATAATACACTGAAACGACGTTAAACTAAGATAATACAGTGGTTATCATAATTTTTTAACTGAGAAAATTCTCACATTTGTGGGTTTCTTTGGTCTCTCGTTCAGCCATCTTGCTGGTTTTTCTTTTTTTCCTCATATCACTCTGTTTGGAGTCTCTGAAAAACCTCCATTTGGAGGGACGTGTAGCTCTAACACTTCGCCCTCCCCCTCTATCTCAACAAGAATCGGGACACCCCACCCCTGGACGTGAACGCACAAAACAGAGGGCTAGGGATGAGTGGTAGGGGCGAGAGGTGAAATAGGATTGGGCCCAAGTGTTCACATGTTTACAATCCAAATATACATTTTATTTATTTTATTTAAAATGTAATATTATTATTACATATTAAAACTCAGAAAGATTAACGATTAAGTGACCCTTATTAGTCCCACAATGGAGAAATTTCACCTCCACATTTTACCCATCTGTGCAGTGAAACACCACATACACACTAGTGAACACACACTAGGGGGTAGTGACCAAACTTGCCCAGAGCGGTGGGCAGCCCTATCCACAGCGTCCGGGGAGCAGTTGGGGGTTAGGTGCCTTGCTCAAGGGCACTTCAGTCACGTACTGTCGGCTCAGGGGCAGTTCACTGGCCATGCTGGACAGTGAATAAAATGGCTATTACTCAGTTTGCCAGATAACCTAAGCCTAAAAATAAGCACTGTCCAATAGGAACGTCCCTCAGCTCTTTTTCTACTGGACAGGCTGACTTGGATTTAGACGAGAATTCCATGTCAAATCGTAAGATGTAAACAAACCCATTCAGAAACTTATTGAGACATAATTGTTCAGTAATATTAATAGTAAATAAAATAGCTATGTTTGTGTCGGAGACATAGTGACTCCTGGTTCCTATCACCACCACTGTAAAGACATCTGAACCATTTCACACCAAACCACTCTGAATCACTCTGTTTACATGACAGTGATTAGATTACACATACAATTTGAAAGATTGGTGGACTTTCCCTTTTCATTATCCAGCTAAATTGAGAAATTCCCTATGAAAAACCCCCTGGAAAACACCACCACTGTAAATGAAGGAAATCTTGGTAGATATATTTCTCTACACTGAACTGTTTCATCAAACCACTCCGAATGACTTGGTTTACAATGACTGAACTGCACAGCCTTTTAAACCCACACAGAAATCTGATATATGGCAATGTATGCGTATATATCACAAAGCCTCCGTCATACGTTTCAAAATATATGTACATATATGCCATGTACATTATACACCGATCAGGCATAACATTATGACCACCTCCTTGTTTCTACGCTCATTGTCCACTTTATCAGCTCCACTTACTATATAGGTGCACTTTGTAGTTCTACAGTTACAGACTGTAGTCCATCTGTTTCTCTGATACTTTGTTAGCCCCTTTCACCCTGTTCTTCAGTGGTCAGGACCCCCATGGACCCTCACAGAGCAGGTTACTGCAGTAACACTGACGTGGTGGTGGTGTGTTAGTGTGTGTTGTGCTGGTCTGAGTGGATCAGACACAGCAGTGCTGCTGGAGTTTTGAAACACCTCAGTGTCACTGCTGGACTGAGAATAGTCCACCAACCAAAAACATCCAGCCAACAACGTCCTGTGACCACTGATGAAGGACCAGAGGATGACCAACACAAACTGTGCAGCAGCAGATGAGCTATCGTCTCTGACTTTACATCTACAAGGTGGACTGACAAGGTAGGAGTGTCTAATAGAGTGGGCAGTGAGTGGACACAGTGTTTAAAAACTCCAGCAGCTCTGCTGTGTCTGATCCACTCAGACCAGCACAACACACACTATCACACCACCACCACGTCAGTGTTACTGCAGTGCTGAGAATGATCCACCACCCTAATAGTACCTGCTCTGTGGGGGTCCATGGGGGTCCTGACCACTGAAGAACAGGGTAAAAGGGGGCTAACAAAGTATCAGAGAAACAGATGGACTACAGTCTGTAACTGTAGAACTACAAAGTGCACCTATATAGTAAGTGGAGCTGATAAAATGGACAATGAGCGTAGAAACAAGGAGGTGGTCAGAATGTTATGGTCGGTGTATGTCTACGTGTGACGAAAATGCGTTGGACACCCATATTAAATAATATATATCTCACACATTTGAAATATATACAGTGCCATATATCCGTGGAACTGGCTTTACTGCACAGGAGAAAGCGAAATTAATCTTGCAGAAATTAAACGTCAGAGAAATCAAAGTTAGAAAGTGTTAAGAGAAGTTAAGCAGTCTCTTGGTATTTACGCCAGCTCACAACAACAACAACAACAACAACAACACTGCTGGTATTAATGCTACTATTACTACTACAACGATTTCTACTGCTAATAATAATGAAAACACTATTTGAAGCTGGAATAGTTCGGTCAACAGTCGCAGAATGACAACATAAAACAAGCAGCGAGGCTGAAATTGGCTTCCTACTCGAATATTCCGTTCCACCTTAAACGGCGCAGCAGTTACACTGTGGCGCCTCAGGTCCCCCGCACGTAACTGCTGCACCATTTAAGGTGGAACGGAAAATTCGGACAGTAAGCCTGCGAGCACAAACAGCACATCTCCAATATAGCGTCATATATGAATTAACGACTTACATATTTTAATAACAGTCCGTTTATCAAACAGAATTAACCCAATTTAACACTTTAATCGACCAACTGCAGACATCCCCCCTTTTCCGCATCCTTCATCAGGCCCGCCGGTTAAGGACACTCGAGCGCTCGCCTGATCGGGTTCACATTCAAACAGATTTGAGTAAAATATTAATTTTAGATTTTTTTCCTTTTTAGAAAAAGCTGCGATGTGTTTTTTGTAATAACGCCGAGATTCTGAGGTGTGGATTCATTCAGGCGCTTAGCTGGCTTCATTTGTGCAGGGTGGCAGTCTGAGGACCCCGGAGGAGGCTAACGTAGCTTAGCTTAGCGGCGCCGGCGGAGTGGCTGTGTGCGTCTCCACGTATTTGTTCATTTAAAACGAAACATATTTAATTTTATTAGGTTTTAATTCGACAGTGTTGGCTCGAAGGAGGACGGTGACGGAACCGGGAGGCGGTTAAACCACCCTGTCGCTTGTTTTTAGAAAGGCCGGCCGGTTTTCCCGTCGCGGTTTGTTCGCCGAGCGGACCGTTGTTGTTGTGTCTTTAGAGGGATTCATCAGATTCATCTGCGGCTGAAACGTCCGATTAAAGTCACGTCTGAGTAGTAAAACAAGCCGGACACACAGCGCCGTGGATTAATCCTGCGAGCTGAGATGAGTAACGTTGTCCTGGAATCGGTGGATCGAGTGGAGCTCTGTGAGAGTCTCTTAACATGGGTAAGAAAATGTACTGGATCTACTGGATCCATACCTGGTTTAGCTGTTGTGGGGCTGTTTCTGGGTGTTTTATCAGCCTCAGCGCTTTTACCTCCTCTTGAAAACCTGTTTTCGTCCTTTTTTAAACAGTTATAATGCCTTTTCACCCCATTCGAGCTTTCTGTCTGCTTTAAAATCTATATTAGGCTGTTTTCTCTGTTCACTCTTGAAGAGAACTGCCTGGTTAAGGGTTCTTTAGTTAAGGGAATGGTTCTGTTTACAACCCTGAGTTGTATGTAGAATCTTTTCATGCTGAAATGTGCTGTGTATTTTTGAAAATGGCTCCATAAAGCACCAAAAAGGGTTCTTCATATTCTATACAATGTCAGGTTTGTAGCAGTAGAATAACCTTTTATTTGGTGCTATATGGAACCATTTCTAAAAGCTTGTATAGAGCCATATGCAACACATACTTCATCGGTCCTGAAGAACCGTTTCACCATACAAAGAACCATAAAGGCATGTAAATCATGTAAATAGTTCTTTGAGTGTTCATGGTCCTATTTAGAACCATTGTCCTCACAAAAGAACCCTCGAAGAACCATGTTTTTTAAGAGTACTAAGACTTTTTAACTGTTATATACAGTTTCTCCCTTTTAAAATGTGTTTTTTTAGTGTTTTGGGCAGCTTTAATCCATTTTTGTCCTGTGTGAAAATAGTTTTATACTTACTCAGTTTATCTTTGCTTGTTTGATATGTTTTTTGCCTGCTTTTGGGTTTGTTTATCTCCTTTTGAGACCTTCCTCTACTGTTTACTTTATTTAATTTAAGTTTTTTTGTCTTTTCCCAGCATTTTTGCCCTTTTTGTCATTTTAGGTTTGTTTTTGGGTCTGTTTTGCCTCCTTTAGGGCCTATTTTAGAGTCTCTTTCCTGGCCTTTTCTCCGCTTTGTGGCATTTTTTTGCCTGGTGTCTTTCAGTGGTAACTGATGAATTGATTCTCTGACACAGAGAGGAACTGAGTGGGTTGCCTAAACTGCCCCCCAGCCTGACGTGTAGGCTGCTAAAACCTAAAACCGCTCTTTAAAATAACAGTAAAAAGTGGCTATACTAAGCATTCCAGTGTGAAAGATGGCAGCGAAGCTGTCTCATACATCTGGCCAGCTGTTGCAATGGAAAACGATGAACCAGGGATGCCTGTGGCTGCTGTTCCTTTCATCTGCCTTCTGTTCTCTACTTGTTAACTCTGGGATCACACATGTCTGGCCTTAAAGAGGACTCTGATTTTGATTGTGAAACTCAGCTGATGATGAAATCTCCTCAGTGGTCTCCTCTGAAGAAATGTAAGAGGTGTAAACTGAGGGTGGTTTCTTATCTGTGATGGAGAATCTCTGATAACATTGATTGAGTGGTTTCTGGCACTGTTAAAAGACCCTTACTTTGTAAAATATAACTTACTAATACACTGATCAGGCATAACATTATGACCACCTCCTTGTGTCTACGCTCATTGTCCATTTTATCAGCTCCACTTACTATATAGGTGCATTTTGTAGTTCTACAGTTACAGACTGTAGTCCATCTGTTTCTCTGATACTTTGTTACCCTGTTCTTCAGTGGTCAGGACCCCCATGGACCCTCACAGAGCAGGTACTATTTGGGTGGTGGGTCATTCTCAGCACTGCAATAACACTGACGTGGTGGTGGTGTGTTAGTGTGTGTTGTGCTGGTACGAGTGGATCAGACACAGCAGTGCTGCTGGAGTTTTTAAACACTGTGTCCACTCACTGTCCACTCTATTAGACACTCCTACCTTGTCGGTCCACCTTGTAGATGTAAAGTCAGAGACGATAGCTCATCTGCTGCTGCACAGTTTGTGTTGGTCATCCTCTAGTCCTTCATCAGTGGTCACAGGACGCTGCCCACAGGACACTGTTGGCTGGATATTTTTGGTTGGTGGACTATTCTCAGTCCAGCAGCGACACTGAGGTGTTTAAAACTCCAGCAGCACTGCTGTGTCTGATCCACTCAGACCAGCACAACACACACTAACACACCACCACCACGTCAGTGTTACTGCAGTGCTGAGAATGACCCACCACCCAAACAGAACCTGCTCTGTGAGGGTCCATGGGGGTCCTGACCACTGAAGAACAGGGTAACAAAGTATCAGAGAAACAGATGGACTACACTCTGTAACTGTAGAACTACAAAGTGCACCTATATAGTAAGTGGAGCTGATAAAATGGAGAATGTTGTGATGTTGTTATTTTAGAAAAGCAGTACATTTTCATGCATATGTACCCATTCAGACCACAGCAGTTTAGCCCCGCCCATTCACACTGATATTATAAGCAGTGTCTCAGCACGCACTGCTTTCTAAATGAGGCACAATACAGGGCAGCCAGAGGTCGTTAACGTATTCTCGCATTTTGCGTGACGTCACACTGTGTTCTTGCCGCCGTTTTGAGGACCAAACCAGGGAGTGACTGCGCTGCACGATGTGCCGTGTGAATGATTCACCTGCAAGTCGGAAGCAGAGAATAACAAGACCTTTAATTCAGTGTTTTCACTCCAGGCTTGGAGCCCCTGCACTGTACAGTTTAGTGTTCCTCTCTGCTGTTCACACCTCGTTCAGCTCAAGAAGGGATTAATTAGCTAATAATATCAGGTATTTTAACCAGGAAACCACAGTTATGCAGTGCAGGGGTTTCAGGACTGGAGCTGAACTCTGAACTAACTGCACCAGCAAACTTACAGAATCACGTCTGTCGAAACACGACGTCGTTTTCAGACCCACGACATTCAGTCTGATATTTAACGCTTATGTTTCTCCATTCAGACGTCATTTAAATCAGAAACAGAGAGTAAAGTTATCCCGGCTGTCTGCAGCTCCGTTAGGGGGGCGACTGTTCATCTCTCGGCTGATAACATCAGCTAAAGTTATCTAAAGGCCAGCATTGATCTCATCTGTGTTAATTAGCTGATGTCGTTACCCTCCTATGATGGCAGAGTGTTTCTCCTCTATATGAACACCATGGGATCCTGTACCCACCCTGACGTGAAGAGCCGGTGGGCTTCTGTGCTTTTAAATGCTGTGAGAGACCCTCCAGAATAGGGAGAGGGGCTGAGTATGAGATCAGTATAAATGTCAGGAAAACACTAATGTGGTATCTTTCCTCCAGTTTCAGTGGAATCAGGAGTTCAGGGGAAACTGAATAAGGATCTCAGCCTATTTTATCGACTTTGTCGAGGTCATGTTTTTCCCTTTCAAAGTAAGAAGAGTCATTTTAGCCGTCTTTCACCTCTAGTTATGTTCATGAGGAGCAGTGAAGCCAGAAATTCGGTCCCAAATATGGTGACCACAAGAGAAAAATCACGGGACTGAAACCCGAGGATATATCAGTCTCAAAGGCACAGTGACAAATCAAGCCTACCACCTTCTCTCAGACACAGGAGGTGGCTCCCCTTCCCACCCCTGCATTGTCCATTTGTGATAGCCATCTCTGGGATGCCCGTTACAGTTTCACTGGTCTCCTACCATTAATACTCCTGTATAACTTGCTTTTTAACTGTATTTCTGCTCTAAGTGTCGCCCTAAAGTTCCCCTCCAGGTCATGTGGTGTGACTGTTTGTACTTGTTGCACAGAAACCTGAGTCTACCAGCTGGCAACGTGCAGTTACATCATCACAGCCAGGTTCAGTGCTGAGGGAGAGGGGGAGAGACGACGATTTGCTTACCACTCTACATGCTTGCTGAGGGCACACAGCTTAGCCAGAGGGTTGCAAAACGCTGTAGTGTTGCCAGGTGGCAAATGAACAGATCTGGAAGGCTGCAGTCCTGTTACTGCAACCGAAATCTCTCCGAAGCCTTCATGCACTCAAGTTTGTTATCTAAAAGTACACTCCCATTCATTTTCAACAGGGATTGGCAAGAAAGTGTGGAAGGCATGAGAACCTGACACGTGGTGGGGCGAGAAAACTTAAGCTTTAATTGATTTTTCCCTCAATTTTCTCCTCAGTTTAGTTGTGTCCAGCTCCAACCGCTAGTTAGGACTCCCCCAATCACACGATACCATAGATATACATACCTAGATGCCATGTTGGGTCCAGCCAGGCACGTCAACGGCGCTGCCATTTTGGGGAGGTCAACATCGCTGCTGGACTGCATTCAGTACCATTACAGAGCGGCAGGTTAAGAAAGTTACTGTCCAAAATTACACTATTTCAAGAATATTACTCTCAGAAAGTGGGATAGGATTATATAACGGAGGGAACGCAGTGATCCACACTCATGTCTGTGTGATGTGTATTGTTTGTGTGGTGTTTGTGTAGATATGGCTGTGTGGTTGGTGAGGAACAGAGAACCTGTTGATGTGATTGTTTTTCCTCTGGTTTTATATGAAGCTTATTTCATTTAATAGTCTATTCAGGGGGTCTTAACTTGATGTAGTAGTTATTTATTTACAGTGATGGTTAAAGCTTTGTAGCTCGGTAAGTTACAGCATTCCTTAATCCGTGTAGATATTCATAATAGATTAGCGTTAGCACCTTCTTACACCAAGCTGAGGTCAGATTCTTATTCGCCAGCTTCTTGTTTGAATTTTCCCGTTCCACCTTAAATGGTGCAGCTTCAGGCACCAGAAAGTGACTGCTGCACCATTTAAGGTGGAACGGGAAAACTTGAACAAGAAGCTGGCGAATAGGAAGCCGACTTCAGCTCCGTCCTTCTCACTGTGTTTTGGGGGTTTATTTTATGTTTATGTGTATTAAGATTAGAAGTGATTCCCTCAGTGATGGATCTGCTGATGTGTGTGAGTTTGTGTTTTTTACTCGCGCTAAACTCGGTTTTTAACGTCAGGTGCAGACTGAATACTTTCCTGCTGGTCCGGACGGCTAATTATCACGATCAGTTATTAAAGTCGTAAAAGCTACCGAGAGCAGATCCGTGCAGCCCAGATTAATCTGTGTCTGAGGATTATAACTAAACAGATTTGGTGAAAATCGGTTGAGTATTAAGGGA